TGTCTGTTGCATTGGTGCGGGCTGCTAGCCTGTGTTTGAGGGGCGGGAGGCAGTCATGGCGTGGTGTTGGGGCGATGGACGGGGCTGGGGTGTTCTCATCGGATGAGTGAGCGTGCTCTTTGTGCATAGGCATATGTGGATAGATTCATGGAGGCGATTTGGACAAGCGAGTGCATGGATGCCATCTGTCAATTATCTCTTCCCCGTCGGGCCTCCTTTTCGTTCAAAATGATGTCGTTCATGGTGTTTCTCGCCGACGGTGGTGCTTCAAAGGAAAAATCGCTACCCACCGACCTCCTTTCCACCTGATGTGCACGTACTGCACGTTCCCATTCACCTGGCGTCGAGCTCGGAGGTCAGTGCCGCGGCGCCTTCCGGGCCTCATATTTGTTCAAAATCATGTCGTCCATGGTGGTTCCCTCGCACGACGGTGGTACTTGAAGACTCTCTCAGGAGAGTCTCAGGAACCGAAGCTGTAGGAAACTGTTCGCCTTCTAAAAATCCGTCCGTCTCGCCGTCTTCTCGCCGCGATTCTCGCCGCGTGGTCGCGGTGGTTTTTCGCTATTACTGTAGTTTTTGGCGTCAGCAGTTGGCTGGTGTGCGAGCTTAGGGTTTTCCAATCCCGCCGAGCATCGAACTGACCCCCACCAAGAGAGAGACAGAACGGCTGCGCTTTTGGCCAATTCTTGAGTTGGAGCCGTGTGTCGCAACAGCTCGCACTTTGGTCCGACGGAAGGAGGCGACGAGCGGAGCCGCCAAGGGGCGTACGCCCCTGTGCGGTCCTGAGACACGTCCCTGCATCAAGGCGGAGCGGCAGTCGATTTCTGACGCACAAGGTCGCGGAGCGTGACGGAGTCCGAGTATCGTCTGGGTGTCGGTTTAGGCCTGTCGTCACTCGCTGGTACGCTCACGCCAACCTCTGCCACCATTCGGCGCAATGACGTTGCCATATTCAGCTGTAGCTGTGTTCGTGTGTTGTGCGCAGGTTTGGCTGGCGGCAGTGCTGTGGTCTGTCTTTCTGTTTGCCGACGTCCAAGCCGCGGATCTGATCTTCGCTGTGTGCCTGTCGCTGTCGGCGGGGGTGATGCTGTACATCTCCTTCATCGAGATATTCTACAAAGCAATGGGTATGCGCCTGAGGTGGGCGACGGGCGCTCTCACCGAGCTCGTATCACGCACTACACGATCCATGTGCGTGTGTGTTTGTGTGCAGGATGAGTTTGTGAGATCTGGGTTCGACAAGACGCAGGCAAACCCTCTCGCGACGCTGGTCTTCTTCTGCGGTCGGTGGCCGGCGAACGGAGCAACAAAAGCCCTGAAAGAGCAGCAGGCCTCCATCTCCCTGTGTGTATATTTGTGTGTGTGTGTGTAGGCTGTTTGGCTACGAGCACGACCACGACAAGGTCCATCACGAGCCGCCCGTGACGCTGGAGGGGCTGTCCAGGTCGCCCGAGGAGATGGCGCAGGAGGCCAAGATGACGCCACTCACTGCAAGTGCGCTGCGCGGCACAGAAACAAAACGTCCCCGTAAGCCAGCCGCTGCCTGCGAAAAGACGACATGACTGACGACGGACGATGCACAATCAATATGGGTGTCCTTCATTTGGTGCTCCTTCAGTCAGTCTGTCCATCGAGGAGACGGTGGACACCCACCAGAGCGGCTCAGCGTCATCACCCTCCACGTCACACGAGCATGTCGAGGCCGCCGACAAACCCAGATCGGCCGAAGAGACGGAAACACCGCCGCCAAAGGTGGGTGTTTGACCACAGTTTCCACGCGATTAGCCGGCTGTATCGACCACTGGCCTATCGTGGTATTTGTGTTGTCAGGACGGCAGGAATGGTGCGGGCAAGGCGGCCCTTGGCAGGCCGGCGCGCGACAAGGGGAACCTGCTGAACTTATCTCTGTCCAGCGGCCGACCCCAAGTTTGGCCTGGGTACAGTAACTAACTGGAGCGCACTGCAGACGGGCAGACGTTGGCGAGCTTGATTGGGTCTTTGCACTGCGTGCGTGCGTGTTTCAGGAGTCGCTGTGGCGACAGACATTCACAGCTTCCCCGAGGGCGTGGCTGTGTCCGTGCCAATATACTATGCGACCGGGAGCAGTGCAAGGCCTTCGGCTGGTCGCTCATCGCTGATATTGTCCAACAACATCTCGTCAACGGCGATCGCCATTCTCTTTGGGCTGGTGGGTGGCCTGATGGTGCACATGTCTGTGAGGAAGCTCATGCCAGCAGCCCTCAGATACGACCCACACGTGAGTGCGTCAGTGCGTGGGGGGGTGGGTGTGGGTCAGGGCAGTGGGTGGCACACTGGTTGTCATTGGCTGTGCGTCCGATGCCTTTGCAGGACCGCGTCAGCTCCGCCCTCGTGATTGCGGGCATGGCGTTGATGGCCGTCAGCCTGGTTATCTTCGTGGCCATCGGCTTCATCGATTAACGGCTGCCCAAACGGACGGAGGAGCAGAAGGATGCTCGCCAGGATGTTAGTGGGGACGCCGTGTATATGTTAGCGCACTAGCTTTCGTTGGGGCGTGTGGCGGGCAGCCAGGCAGGCAGGCCGTCGGCCTCGTGTACATATATGCTGACAGGCGTTGGGAAGGGGATGGCGCTTGTGTGGTGTGTGTGAGCATACAGGTCGGAGAAAGCGGTGGACAGACACACACATGTGTATAGCTATGTAGCTGATCATGAAGGATGACTGACTCGGTGTGTGTGTATAGCGTGTAAATGTGTGTGTATCCGGACATCTGTCCACAGCACACACCAAACGGGCAACATGCACACGCGCGAAGCATGCACAAGGTCTGCCTGCCTGCCCACACTCCTGACATGGTTGCCCTCGTGCTCGCCAGGCACGGGGGTCGCCCGAATGGAGCCCGTCTCGATCGCCAGGAATTCTTTCGTTCTCTCTCCCCTCCCCCGCCTTCGTCTGAGGATCCTTGTTCGCCAATCGATACTCTCGTCTAAGAAACACCCTTCACTCTTGTGCGCCACCTCCCTTGCCGTCGCCCGATGTTGCGATTTCCCGCCCTAATTCTCTCCACCATCTCTCGCCTGAGCCCGACCCGGCCGTCGAGCCTCCGGCCATCAACGCTCTTTCTGGTGCTCTTGCTGAGGGCCCTTGATCAACGTGCCATTGCAAAGAAGGTGACGGGGCAGTCTCTGCTGTCTCCCCGGACAGGGAAAATCGAGGGCAAGTTCTGCTATGACTACTCGCTGGACCCTGCACTGAAGCCAGGTGCGAACAAAGCGGCTGACAATGTGTTCTTATGCCCTTTGCGTGTTCCCCCGGTGCAGGTCTGTTCAGGTTTCAGCTGACGCCTTCGGCCCCTTTGACCTCTCAGGACCGGCTGTATGTGCTGCTGTTCGACGACCAGTGGCAGTCATTCCCACAGGGTATCGGCGCAGAAAGATGACGGGCACACGTATGATTCACAGTAACAGTTCTGCATCGTTGCCTCCGTGCAGCCGACGCCACGTGGGCCGAATCGAGCTGTGAAGACAAGGTAGGTAACTTCTTTGCTTTTCTTTTGTTCCTTGTGTCCCTTGGTGTCATGGATGCCACTGTTATCTGGCCGTTCAGTTGCTCCACGCTCGTTGGGAGGTGCAGTTCCCCTCTCCCCGCGATTTCCTCGATGACCTGTTGATGGGCCCGGAGGGGCTGGGTCTCTTCCTGCCGCTCGATGTGCTCAATATGGACACCACCAACACGGCCAACGTGGACCCGCTGCTGCCGCCCATAGGCGACGACTCATTACCATTGAAAGTGATGAACAAGATCCCCCCCACTGCGCCATATGGCGGGGAGTCGACGAGAAGGCAGCCGACGGTGCCGAGCAGTTCTTCTCCTGCTCCGTCGACGTCATCGTCGTGGCTGGGCTGGCTGATGGGCAGCATCGCTGGGGCGGACAAGGGAAGTCAAGCGGGAGAGATAATGCCCCTCAAGATGGATGTCAACGTGACGGAGAAGTCGCAGCCGAGATACTGGTGGGTGGGTGGGTAAGTGAGAGACATCGACTGAACGAGTGGAGTGAGTGGGATGCCTGTGTTGAGTCCGTGTGTGCAGGTATGCAGCGGTGCTATCGTGCGGCCAGCGGCCTGTGGAATACTCAGTCAAGATCTCCTTCGAAAACCCACTGCAAGGCTGGAAAAGAGAGCTGGGCATCGACGAGCACGGTCTGACCAGCCGGCCAACCAACCACAAAGCCGTCCATCCCACCGTCTCCCCACGTGTGTGTGTGTGCATCAGGCGTCCTGGGGTTCTCGGTCGTCTTCACACTGTGTGCGCTTCTCACAGCCCTCCTCGTCACCAAGCTGCTGCTCCACGGCCACGACCTTGCCGCAGACCCACACATATCCCAATGGATCGCTGACCACCGCGCCCCAGCCGCCGGGCTGAATGCACTGCAGCGAATACTCAGCAGCCTGCCCTCGCCGCCATGGGTCACCATGCAGCCCACCACATGGGTAAGTATGTGGTGGTGGTAAGAAAAGGTTTAGTGGGGGAGACATGGACTCGTCTCTCTCGTCTGTGTATCTCCGTGTGCAGGGGCGTGATGGATGTCGTTTGTGGCTGTTGCTGGGGTTGTCTGTGTGGAGTGGTGTTTTCGCCGGCCTGATGGTCGTGCACCACTGGGTGTGGTATGCTGCTGATGGGGTGGGCAGCCCTCTGGCCAAACAAGTCGCTCTGAGTAAGCAGAGACGAAGGACAATCGAGATGGCAACCTCTGCCTCTTGTTGCCCTTTTTCAGCTCTGTTTGCGCTTTCAAGGGTGGCCCTTATTCTCATCCTGATGCGCATTGCCGACGGTGATCGATTAATGACTGCCTTCCACTCGTCCGCTCACCGATCTACCTTTCCTTCTTTGTGTCTCAGGTTTGTTGGGGTCCGATGAGTCGACCCCTATCCTCCGCTCAGCAGCAGAGGGGCCCCTCCTGGGCGCATCATACGCAGCCCTCTCCACACAACCCAGCCAAGACACCTTCAGAGACACAGACGAGGGCACCGGGCCTTCACCGTCAATTCTTCCCGGGCCGCGTGGCGTTTGCGATTGGATTCTGTGTGCTGGGTTTGGGTGTGGAGTCGTGGGCGGGGTGGGCGGAGTATGGGGTGCGGTCGCTGGGGTCGTCTGCTGTCGATATATACGGCTCTGTGCCGGGCCTTATCTATGTCACTGTAAGTAAGCCCAAAGAGGCGCGAGTGGATGGGTGTGGGTGTCTCACGTCTCGCATGGAGACATGGACCTGTGTGCAGTTGTCTGGGGTGTGGTACCTGTGCTACCAAGACCTGCTGCTCCATTCCTACGCGCACTCCACGTCGACTGGGCCGGGGAGGCATGCCGACACACTCGCCGGGGTTAGCAAGGAAGGAACCATAATGTCTCGGGGCAGCAGAAAAGGCTCTTCCTTCTCTCTGTGTTGATATCAGACATTGCTGGGTTTTTGGTTTTTGGTGCTTCCCGTGTCTCTTCTGCTGGTCCGCCTTGCACCGAGATGGCACCAGCTGAAGCTCTTCACCGCGGCCAACCACATGGCCCTTATCGCATGCTGGAACGGCATCGCCACACTGCTCGCGTGCGTGAGCCACCTACACCAGACACACACGCACACACACGCATGGATGGAGTGTGATGGATGGATGGGCTGTGTGCATCAGGAGCAGCCGAGTGCGCGGGATGCTCGCAGACAGGAGGTCGGTGTGCACCTTTTTCTCCCCTGCCAAGAGCGACAAGGCCGTGTCGCGGCTAGATGATGGTGCGGACGATACTAGGGTCATCGACTTCATGTCTGTCAGCAACCCCTTCAAGCCATGATATGGTCAATAGAAAGACAGAGAGATCGGCCCGCGTGTGTGTGTGTGTGTGTGTCGTGTGTTTGGGGTGTGTGTGGTACGGACGAGATTGGCAGCTAGCGCTCCTCTGGTTGATTAAGTCAGTCGTGTGTGAGGTCCATTGGTTGTCAATCAAAGGCATAAAAGGCCGACCAGAAATGACTGCTCCCTCCCCGTCCACCGACAACTGTGCCACAACGCCACACCACACGAACAACACACGCCCTAATAAACACCTGAGCACCGCTCACTCCTCCTGACGCACAAAAACACCCACCCGACGGACGCCGATCGGCTGGCCAAAAATTGACAAATGCCTTCTAAATGAAAAAACTCACACACCGACTTCCTGCCTGCCTGCATGCCATCCTGCCTGCCTGGCTCTAGAAACCAAAGACCAAACCAACTGGCACATGGCCAGCCAGGCCGGTCCACTCACTCATACGCCAGTGCATCTGTTGGTGGCGGTGGCGGCGGTGTGTATGGGTCTGCAGGGCAGGACGACGTAGATGAGGTCCCCCCCGTCCAGACGAAAGCTCGGCTCCGGATTGCACACCACGTAAGGGAGCTCAACCGCATCACACGCACTGACGCCATCCATCCACCACACACACACACACACACACAGATTGCATTGCTTGTGTGTGGGGTGGCCTTGGCCTGCTTACGCTCTGTAGACGCCAATGGGGATGAGTTTCCTCTGCAGCAGCAGCGGCAGCGCGTCCCCAAAGGCCAGTCCAGCGAGGTCCTTGCTGACGGGCACTGTCGAGATGCCCGTCTCAGGTGAGGATAACCACAGGCCGCCCCGTGAGTGGGTGAGCGAGACGATGGCCGACTGCTTGACGGTCGACTCGCCCAGCAGGTGGTCCACCACACGGGGGCCGCAGGCTATGTCGCACACCCAACGAGACTGGCAGATCAAACTGACCACATGACGGACGACACAACAGGACAGGATTGGGTGGAAGGGGGAAAAAGGGGCTGACTGAGTTGGGTGCTGGAGGTGGAGGTACCTTCCTTGTTTACCTGTAGAGCATGTGGTCGCAGAAGACGCGGCCTGCGGCGTACTCGGGAGAGTCGATGTAGCTGATGAACTGCTGGTTGGTGCTCTCGTCGCGCCTGCCAATCCAAGCGGGGTCAGACGGCCACCTGAATGAACATCATGCAGTGCACCGTGCCACCACAACACTCAGACGAGCCTTTCCCTCATGTGTGTGGCTCTCTCTCTCTCTGTCTCTCTCTCTCTCTCTCTGTCTCTCTCCACTGACCATGGCGACGCATCGAGGAAGCGCACGTTGGACGTCCTGTGCAGCTCGCTGATCATGATCATGTCGCTCCGCCGCTTTATCATCGCACCATCACCCCTTCTCCCTCCCCCATGGCCATCACACGCAGCTGTTGCCGCCATTGTGGTCTTGGGTGGCAGTGAGGGGTGGGGGTGGTCGATCTGGAAGCGCTCCCAGTTGAAGTGTGCCCGTTGCCTGGCCGCGGCTGACACTAAAAGGGCCTGTATCTTGTGGCAGACCAGGATGATGTCCACATCCTGCTGGTCGTCGGACTCGCTCAAACGGTCATCGGGATCGTGGCGGGCGCTGAAGATGACGTAGCTGTGCGCCTCCACCACGCCAGCACTGTGGTTGTCAGACACACACACACACACACACACAGAGAGAGAGAGAGAGATATGATGTGTGTGTTGGGCAAGGCAAAAGGGAGAAGGGGCAGTGGGTGTGAATGCGGGCTTACCGCATAAGGTCGGATTGTCTCAGGGGCGACCCCTTGATGAGTGCGATCTGCTTGGCGAACGGCGCGAGTGACGAGAAGCTGCTCCATGGTGGCGGGATGAGGGGCGTCAGCACCACCACGTTAAACTCCGACGACCGGCACACCCACTGGGCCAGCAGACTGAGCGCCCGGGGCCACCCGCACACCAGCACAAACGGCTTGTCGTTGCCCCACACCTGGCGGGCCTCGTCCAAGGAGTGCACCTCACACTGACACACACAGCAACACATGGACAGACAAAGCAAGTGCCTGATGTGTATGTGTGTGATTCTGTCTGTGTGACGTACATCTCTGATGGAGGGTGCCTCGTGGTCGTGGTCAGTGTCGCCCTCCTGGCCTTGTCGTTGTGGCTGCTGTTCTTCCTTGACGGCCTCGTCGTTTTCGTCGACCAGGTCCAGCTCCGCCTTGCCCTCCGCTGAGATGATGTTGCGCGTCTGCAGCCACCAGGACGCTGATCGACACACAAACAGAGGACAATGAGTGGATAGATGGGATTGCAATGCATGTGTGTGATGCTCACTCACCGTCAGGTCGGTCAAGTGGCGACTGCTGTGGCGGCCTGCGTGGGGTGGTGAATCGGCGGTGCTCCCCCCTGACCGTCTCAACGATGGCCTCCATCGGCAGGCTCGTCTTGTGCCGCAGGATCCTGTCGCCAGTCAGGTCCTCATCGGCCAGCCCTTCGTCCCCCTCTCCCTCCCTCTCCCCCTCAAAGGCCACCAGAGGCCGCGCCTCGTGGCCGCTCTCATTCTCCGTCCGCCCGCCCCACCCCTTGGGCAGCATCACATCTGACTGCATCCCCGCCCACCACAGCAAATCGCGGGCCCGGCCCCTCAGCCCGCCAAACTGCCGGCGTGGTGACGGAGAGGACCTCCTGCCCCCCTGCCCTCGTGGTGAGAGCGGCTCAGCTGTTGCCGATGCCCCTGGTGCTGGGCCCCGACGCATGATCACCTCGCTCGTTGTGGGATGGTCGTCGTCAGGCCTCCTGCGTGTGGGCGACCTCCGGCGGAGCGAACCGAAGCCGACGGTCTTGGCGCGCCAGGGGCTGCGTGAGGGTCTCTGTTTCTGTCGTGGGGACATGCCGTCGATCCTGGCTTCGTCGGCATGCTCATGCTCGTCGGTGTCGCCTGCTGGCGGGGGATGGAGGGTGTGGGTCTGGGTCTGGGGGGGCTGCCGGTGGGGAAAGCGGGGCACTTGTAGGGGCGATGACGATGGCCCTGTGCCGTTGTCTATCGGGGATGCGGTGTCTGCGGCTTCTGCTAGGGACGATCGGCGGCTGGAGCGCATGAAGCTGTGCAGTGGCGACACCAGACCAGACGCATCGTCACGCACCAACACCTGACAAAGACATAGTACACACACGTCTTGACAGAGAGGCCTGCCGGAGCATTCTCAGTCTGTCAAGTGGGTAGGTACCAGTGGGTTGGAGTGGTATCTGGGTTGAATGCCTTCGTCCTGCTGCTGCTGCTGCTGTGGCTGCTGGAGTGCGTCCGTCGACATAGATAGCTGGCTGTCCGTGCACGGTGCTGTGGTGCTGTCGCTGGTGTTGGCGCGGGGGGCGGCGGTGCCGTACGGCGGGCGCCCCTTACCACCGTCGTTAGTGGTGGCCGAGGAGAGGGTGCTCTTGGACACGTTCTCCGCCCTCTCGACGATCTGACAGAGTCCACACACACATCGGGAGGGAGAAGGGGGCGTCATACAGGGTGTGTGGGTGTGTGATGCAATCTGACGCACCCATGGCACTGCAGGGAGGCCGGAGAGAAGCTTGAGCTGGTCGGGGTCCTGGGCGATGACGATGCCGTGGTCGTCGGCCTCGATGCAGGGGTCATTGCAGCTGCCCAATCGGTCCAGGGACGTACCTGCAAAGACCGACCAACAAAGGGGCATAGTGTGGTGTGGTAGTGAGTGGGGCTGTTGCTCCCTGCCTGTCTGTCTGGCTGACCATACCATTGAGAGGGTTGAGGTAGATGTTGTCGCTGTTCTCCTTGATGATGCCGATAACCAGCACCCCGAAGCACTCGTACAGCCCCATCACCACCTCCTACACAAGTAAACAACACAACACAAGGATAGATGCGGAATCTGCCCACCACTCACTCCACCTATCGGATGGCATGAACCATCTGGCCACACGAAGCGCAGCTGCCTACCTGGAATGACTCCCCGTGGAAGCATTTGGGGAAGTCGAAGCGGTACAGCTCGTATCGAGTGCCCTGGGCGTACTCAAAGAAGCGCCGCTCGGCGTCCGACATGGAAGGGGCGTCCTTGGGGTCGCGGTAGGCCACCTCGCACGTGCGGCCAAGATTCACCAGCTGAGAAGTGGATGGATGGATGGATGGCGTGTGACCTGTGTGTCGAGTCGTGCTGTGTGCCCACCAGTGCGATGATGCCTGGGCAAGTGGTGCAGCTCTTAGCCAGGACCTTCACCTTGAGCTCGTTGAAACACAACACCTACATGGACACACACACACACAAACACACACACACGCTCGCGCGCGACACATGCATGATTCAATGAATGGCATCGATCCATCCTGTGGGATGCCCACACACAGTCTAGGTACCTTACCTGGTCGCAGCCAAAGCTGAGCGCGAGGCTTTTGGCTGTGTCGGTGTTGAGCTGCAGGCTGACGCGCTTCATCGACACGAACTTGCGAAGCCCCAGGCAGCGCACGATGGTCCGGCGGTCCTCCTCAACCAGATGCATCGCCCATGGGTTCGACAAGACGAATATCGCCCTGACGTGACGTCACCACAGCACATCAACCGACATGGGGAATGTAATGCTGTGCTGCTGGTATCTCACCGTGCATCGCTTGCCCGCACTTCTCTGAGGTCACAGATGCCCCCGCCGTCACCCTGAGGAGCCGCCGGCCAGCCGACACACACATAGGAGTTGCTTAGCTTGCTGGAATTGATCTGTCTGCCCGTGTTTCTGCTCACCGCGTCTCCCTTCTTGACGGTGAGCCTGATGCGGAAGAAGTCCATGGCCTTGCCGATCTGGTCCACGTACTGAGACGGGTCGTTCGGCGTCAGCAACACCGCCTTCCTGAATAGGTATACCACACGCACAGACACACACATGGACGCACAAATATCTATCGCTGCGTACGTGACGTACGACCTCCCTCACTTGGGCACTTGGTCGCTGAAGGCAAAAATCTCTTCAAGGAAGACGTCCACCTGGTCAGGGATGGGCTTGCCCACCATCAAGATGAAGTCGTGCCGCTCCCACACGCTCGGCAGAGAACCGATCTGCGTCACGGGGGCCACCAGCAGCCTCTGCATACACGGAGGAGCAGCACACAAGGAAGGATTGACATAGGCGTGCTTCGATTCACGCGATGCCCTCTGTCTGTCGCTCACTCACGATGAGTGTGGAGGTCTCGAGGGGGATCCACACGACCACGACGATGATGGCGATGATGGCCACGATACGTGAGACATTGTAGGTGGGCGAGAAGTCACCGTAGCCCACGGTGGAGAAGGTCACGATGGCGAAGTAGAAGAAGTCGGGGAAGAGGCTGTTGAACTCGGGGCCGCTGTCGCTGTTCTCACCCTCCAAATACCACATCAGACCTGACATAGCACACCACACCACACCACACACACCACACACATGACACACAGCACAGCACATGCAGCGAGTGCGGTGTCGTTTGTTTAACTCCCTCAGCCACCCACCCCCATTGGCCACCGACCTGCGAAGACGAGTAGCGTGGAGGTTATCGCGAGGACGATGGCGATGACCTGAATGCGGCTGGGGCTCACGTGGGGAAAGGCCTTCCGCAATACCGGCGTGATGCCTGCGGTTAATTGGCACCGACACAAACACACACAGACAGACAGACAGACAGACACACAGACAGACAGACGTGGCCTCACCCCGTCCTAGCTATGAAGCAGAGTGCCAGACAGGCAGGCAGGTGTGTTGCGTGTTGTTCTACCTACCGTATAGCCTGAAGAATCTGAAGTAACCAAACGCCAGAAGATATTGGGTGGGCTCGATGTGGTAACCTGCACACACACCACCCACACCCACACCTGCTCACCTTCCTGCGCTGTCTGCAGTCTTTTCTTCTCACTCCCTGACGTACCCGTGATGTCTTCGAAGAACTGCGAGGACACGAGCCATATCCAGGGCGGCAGCGTGATGATCTCGATCAGCGTCGCCCATCGAAACAGGAACCTGTGCTTCTCGTGCGCCACGTAGTAGAGGAAACAGAAGTCTATCGTCGCCTGACACAGACAGACAGACAGACAGACACATGCACATGCACACCTGCACGACGAGCCAGATGAAGTGGGAGGCAAAATGTGCTGACCGACCGCGGAGAGGAAGATTCGTTCGAGCCAGTAGTAGGTGGCTGGGATCTGGCTGAAGTCCCAGGGCGTCTCGCCACTGTCACGACGCCTGCGCAGGCACAAGGACATACGGAACACACACCCATGAGCCGCATGAGCTGGAGCCTTCCTGTCGTGGCGGCTCTTTCTTTGTCATATGTTGTGGTCAGCGCTGACTGACCAGTATGGTGTGAAGGCGAGCCAGACGCAGCACCACATGGCGGTGCGGATGAGGGAAGACGACAGATAGCTCTGGGACGACACCCAGTTGGCCACCAGCGGACGGAGCCGAGGAAGTCCAAACCACGCTGCACACACACACACACACAGAGGATGACTTTGCGTATTGTCTGATTGTCCTTCAGGCTGCCTGCCATAGACGGCTCGGCTGCGTACTTGTGGGTATGAACTCGAAGGTCTTCTTCCGCACAGACGACTGCATGATGCTCATGTACTCGGCGTGCACCGAAGCATGCTGCCGAAACGCATTGGACGTGTTGAAGCGCCACCTCGCATAGGCCTGACAAACAAAACACACACACACACACACACATAGCCACATGCCACACAAACAATGAGTAGATGATATGCGTCCACTCCGCCACTTCCGGGTAGCTCATTTAATTGATGACCGACCTGCATCGTCCCCGAGGTGACGAGAGCCACCAAGCCATGCACAGCGATGCTGATGAAGAAGCACCACACCATCGGTGCCGAGTTGGCCGCTGCGTTGGCCGGCGCTGACGGGTCACGCCTGGGGTTGTAGATGTTGAACAGCGCCGCGAGGAACACCCCAATCACCGCCCACTCCGCCGCGAACCGCGCGGTCCCCATGCCAGCCTTCCGCACGTCCACTTTGCCCTTGAACAGAGCATTTGTTGTCTTCTTGATGACCAGAGGGAGATGATGCTGATCTTTTCCCGACATGGCTGCAGCGGCGGCGCTGATGCGTCTGGCGATGTCGGTGTCGTCAGCCACCATCGGTCAACTGGTTGTCGCCGGTGTGTCCGCCAAGGTGACGGTTCACGCCTTGCTGATCTGAACGGTAAGATCGTTGCTTCGGTCGATGGAACGATGCCGGATCAAAAGCGACCAGCTTGATCAAATGGCAACAGCTGGCGCATGCTCACGGACTCATTCACCGCCTGGATCGGGTCCAAAAAAGGGGAAGATCACCGAGAGGAAAAGCTCGCATGTAAGAAATGGGCGTTTGAGGAACACATACAATTGACAGGATGAAGACGAGTCCCATTGCAACCATCGATAACGAACAAACAAATACCAGCAGTCCGCTGAACGACGCACAGACAGTCGACTCTGAGCATGCACTGGACAATGAATCCACCGAGACGATCACACACGTATGTGTCGCCCTTCCCGCCCTCAGTGCCGTCATCATTCGATTCCTAGCGGGACGAACAGGCCGGTCCTCGACAGGCGCCCCAGCTGGCCCCACTCGAACTGGCAGTCCTGGTCGCTCAGATGCTCATTGAAGCCCTTGACCACACCCTCCAGCCCGTGTTGCCGCACCTCGTCCAGCCGGGCCCGGTGCACCACCTCACGCACACCCGTCATCAACAACTTCCCCCCACTGCCCTTCACGGCGAAGCACTGCAGCGGCGGGACGGTCACCTTGACGCGCTTGTCGCCCTGCTGCTGGTATCTCGTCCCGCCCACCACCTCCCTGTTGCTGTTCGTCTGTGTGGCCGCCGACTTGACGAAGTGGCCGACGGCCGCACGCACGCGGCGCCTCAGCAGCGACTCGCCGATGAGGTACTGGTCGATGGCGGCCACAGCAGCGGGGGGCTCGTCCAGGAAGGCCCCGATCTTCCATGCGATGGCCTCAGCCTCGTGTGGGCCGAATGCCATGTTGGATGGGGAGGGGTGGGGGTGGGCGCCGTCGTGGTGGGGGGCGAGGGGCAGCAGACGGGCGAGAAGCATCGAGCGGTCGCGCTGGGGGGCGAGGGCGGCGTTGATGGCCGACATGACGACCTCGGGCAGCTCGTTCAGCACTGTGGCGTAGTGGGGCAGCAGGAGACTTCGCTGACGGCGCTGCTCCTCGCTGGCGGTGGGCATGAGGGCAATCGATGGCGCTGCCCCTGCCCGCAGCAGCACAGGGATGGTGACCTCCTGCTGGCGGACGAGTCTTTCGCGCCGCTCCCTCTGCACCTCTGTCTGCTCCTGCTGCTGCTGCTGCTGTACTTCGAAGTAGAAATCGAGTCGCTGAGCAGCAGCGGCCAGCGGTGTGTCGGCGGGGTCATTTGGTGTCCCTCTGTTGATGTCATCGGACGACAGGCGTATACACAGGTTGAAAGCCACACGATGAGACCCCCACATCGCAGCGAAGTGCAATGGAGTGTTCCCACCGAAGTTGGGTGGCCTGATGTCACCCCCGTTGCTGATCACCATGCCGATGTAATCGTCGATGAAGGCCTGGGAGTACCACCCTTGCGCGCGACCGCCCGCAAGGTGCAGGACGTTCCGCAAGGCTCCGTCTACCTGGGTCGCGAGGGAGCTGTCGCGCTGGAGGAGCCGCCGATACATCGACAGCAGCTGCCGCTCCTGATCCGGTCCCGGCATCATGGCATTATCGTATGACCCTGGCAGCGTCAGCATCTCCATGTCCAGCGGCACATTGTGGTCGAGCAGAAGCCTGAATGCCGCCTCGTTCCCTGCCTGGATGGCGATGCGCAGGGGCGGCATGAATCCTCGGCTGGGGTCCGCTCCATTAATGATCAGCCTCTGTAGGACGGCATTCTGGAGCTCGACGGACGACCAGCGCGGCAAGACGATAGGGGAGATGCCATAACTGGTTCGAGCCCAGGCGGACGGGATGGTGTTGTCGATGTCGCCGTCGATGGCCCATGACAAGAGGGAACAGGCGGTCACTTCGCCTCCCGTACCGCCTTCCGCCCGCATCCAGAGGACCACGTTTGGGTCGGCTCCCAGATGCTGGATGAGTTGATAGACTTGCTCCGGTGTGATTGTCCGACAGACGATGCTCAGGGCGAGCAGCCGGGTGCTGTCGCTGATGCTGTCATCGGGGAACTGGGTCGTCACGAAACTGGAAGCAGGATCCCAACGCACCCAGCCGGGGAGCAGGACTCCGGCGGCTGGCGCCTGCCCACCCATTTCAATCCTCAATCTCTACTGCATCAACGAACAAACAAAGCGACCAATTGAAAGCGACCATGACATGAATGACTTGTGCGGGTGAGTGACGAGGTGTGGCGTGCTTACCATGGAGATGAGAATCGTCTCAAGAAGAACGAAGAGGCGGATTTCCGTCCCACAGCCAATTGCCCACAGCCCTCACGATTCAGCCCTCCAGCGGCAGCGGTTTCAAGGGAGCACCCTAGCCCAGGTCTGCGAGCTCAGCTCGAGCAGAAGAGTGAGGAGGGTGATGAATGCTTGATGTGAGAGTGTATGCTGCTCTGCAAGGCTTGAGCAGGCGACGGTTCCGGTTCCCGACTCATTGGCTGCCTGGATCTCTGCGGCTGTTTGCAACGACGAAGATGAGCGACAAGCCGATATCCCTCGTCGCCTCCATTGATCAGGTCAGCCAGTCGGCAACCACTGCACGGACATAAGGGGGCATCTGGACTGATATGATGGATCTTCGTGTGTCTGTTCTGTGAGCAGGGCACTCAGTCAACGAGGTTCATGCTGCTGGACCATGCTGGCCAGGTCGTCAGCGACGCCATGTCGACGCACGAGCAGTTCTTCCCCAAACCAGGGCAAGCGCCATGATGCATCCATCGAGAGGAACGGTCCATTGCATGTGATTGTGCATGGTGTTTGGTTGCTTGCAGGTGGGTGCAGCACGATGCGATGGAGATTCTGGCCTCTACCAAGGAGGCAATGAGGGCCGCAATGCTCGAGGCCATCGCTCTGGTACGGCGCGCGCACACAAGTGTCCTTGCCTGAGCAGAGAGATTCTCCTTTTGGTCGTGGATGTGTTGTGTGTCATCAGCACCGTTCGCTCAAGGTGGTTGCAGTGGGCATCACCAATCAGCGCGAGACGGTCGTGGTCTGGGACAAGAGGACGGGACAGCCGCTGCACCAGGCAATCGGTCGGTGATTGATGGGTGTGATGCATCCATCAATCGACAGCACACCACACCACACCGTGCCTGCAGGGCTCTTGATGGATCCTCCTGTGCGTGTGTGTGTGTATACCCCTCTGTGCAGTGTGGCTCGACACACGGACGTCGGGCATCGTGCAGGAGTTCTCGGAGAAGTACGGAGGAGCGGTACGCATGACAGCCACGATGCCTGTGTGTCACTCCATCCATGAGCGAGCGGGACGGTGTCGTCTGGTCTGGTGTCGTCTGGTGTGGTTGGTCTCAGGATGCGTTCCGGTCGATCACCGGGACGCCCATATCGTCGTATTTCTCGGCCTTCAAGGTGCTGTGGCTCATGAGGAACCACCCACACATCGAACAAGGTCAGACAACGAGGAGCCTCCATCGAGATGTGTTGGATGACTAACTAATGAGCGGCTGGCTGCAGCTCTGCGTGACGGCGAGGCGTTGATCGGCACCATAGACACGTGGCTGATATGGGTAGGTAGGCGGGACGGCGAATGTGTGATCGTCTGTTATCCATCTGTGTGTGTATCGTTTGCAGAATCTGACTGGCGGTGCTGACGGCGGTGCCTTTGTGACGGACGTGACCAACGCCTCCCGCACCTTCCTAATGGACATCAACACCTGCACGTGGTCCGACCACATGCTCGGGTGAGTGAGTAAGCCGCCAAGACAAACAAAGGGGTTTGCCTGTCAAGTCTGCACTGTGTTTGGCATGATCAGTGTATTTGGCATACCGAGGAGCTGCCTGCCCGAAATCAGGTTGGTCCCAATGACGAGTGTACCTGGCAGGGGAAATCGGCATCTGATGTGGTCCTTTCGTTTGTCTCTGTCTTGTCAGGTCTTCGTCTGAAGTGTACGGGCGGCTGCGTGACGTGGGGCTTTCGGATCTCGAGAACGTCCCTATTGCTGGGGTGGGAGTGGGTTGGGGGATTATCCACACGCCGCACTCTCGTTTTGGCTGGATGGCCAGCAGATGAGGCTAGTCTGTTGTGCTCTGCTCTGCTCTGCTCTGTTTGTGTGTGTGTGTGTGTGTGCGTGTTCAGTGTCTGGGCGACCAGCAATCTGCTTGTGTTGGCCAGGGGCTCTTCAAGAAGGGACAGGTGAGCGGGCAACCAACAAGACGGACCGACCCATCGTGCCTCGAACCGTCCGTCATGTGTGTGTCTGTGTGTGTCTGTGTGCAGGTCAAGTGCACCTATGGCACCGGTGCCTTCATCCTCATCAACGCAGGTGTGAGTCCACCTACCCGAACGATGCCTCCCTCCCTCCCTCCCTGCTGACAATCTGGACAATGGCGTGGCATTCGTTCATTGGTGTCGGTCCGTCAGGCGAGGAGAAGGTGCTGTCGACCCACGGCCTCCTCACCACTCCCTGCTACCAGCTCGGCCGAGACAGGCCAGTCACATGGGCCATCGAGGTCACCACAAAGCCAAACATGCGACCGACCAGCTCACATAAGTGCGTCCTCTGTCTGTCAGGGGTCGATAGCCATAGCTGGTGCGGCCATCAGCTGGCTCAAGGACAACCTGGGTGCCATCGACACGGCACAGGAGAGCGAGCAGCTGCTGCGGGCCATCGACGACACTGAGGGCGTGTTCTTTGTCCCTGCATTCGCCGGCCTCTTTGCCCCCAGGTGGCGGTCGGACGCCAGAGGGTGAGGGGAGTGGAGTGGCTGGACAAACAAGCCAAGAGATGGATGGATGGATGGAGAGAGGGAGGGAGGGATAGGAGGGATGCTTCTCTGTCTCTCGGTGTGTGTTCGTAGGTGCATCGTTGGCATCACCCAGGGCACCACCAAGGCCCACATCGTCCGGGCGCTGTTCGAGGCGATCGCCTTCCAACTCAATGAGGTGCGTGTGAGTCAGTCGCCGAACAGGACGGCGGCAGGCCGCTTCTCACTTTTCCGCGTGGGCTTTGAGCGTCATCTCTGTCTGTCTGTCTGTCTGTCTGTCCACCCCATATATCAATCAGATCGTGGCGGCGATGAGGAAAGACATGCAGATCGACAGCGTGCCCCTGCTCAAAGTAGATGGAGGTGCTGTGCGTATTCTTGATAGGATAGCCATTACTGAAATTCATGTGGGTGGCCCTTTACTTACTTTACGTCGTTGGCTTGCTGTGTGGTTCCGTCCGTGTTGGTTGCACTGCAGGTATGACCAAGAACAGCACCTTCATGCAGCTCAATGCCAACCTGGTGCAAACCACTGTCGGTATGCCCTGCCATTGAATGGCACGCAAGGCACTCGAGCAGCTGAGCCCCCCGGCCACCGCACCCACCGGCGTGTATCTACTGTACACCTATGTATCTTGTCGATCAACAGAGAAGCCCAAGAACGTCGAAGTGACCGCTATGGGGGCTGCATTCGCTGCCGGTCAGTGAGTCAGTCAGCCGCAGACACACACAGACGGACGCGACTGCGCCGCGGCCACCGTGGCATGGCCGCCCTTATGGTGATGTGTGCCATGGATGGGAGGTGTTCAGGCCTCGGTGTGGGATTTTGGGACTCGCTTGACGAGCTCAATGTAAGCAGCAGCAGCACAACCATCATCCTCTGTGCATGTGTGTGTGGGCGTGTGTCTGTGCTGATCGATTGGCTTGACCAGAACCTCAATGACCACGACACGAGGTGGACCCCAGGCGTCACACAGGCAAGCGGACAGCCACTGCTGGCTGATGCACACGGGTACCTTTATGTCTGTCTGTCTGTCTGTGTGCAGGATTTTGTTGAGGCGAAGATCAGAGGCTGGAACGACGCAGTGGAGAAGTCCTTAAACTGGGTGTGAGTGCCCCCAGAATATGTCTGTCTGTCGACTGCATTGCTGTGTAAAAGGAAGTGTGTGTGAGTGTTACCTTACAGAAGTGACATCCACCAAGTGACTGACTGACTGACTGTACAGTGAGTGCCTTTATTATGGACGTAAGCAATGCAATCCATCAAACGTGCAGCTTGTCCGTCCAAAATTGGTCATCAACATGACCTCAGCAATTCCTCGGCCCACTAACCCCACCACCTCGCACCGCCAGCAAGGCTGGCCAGCATTCTACGGCAAAGAAAGCATCTCCCTCCCCCCAGATCTGTTTCCATCCATCAGTCGCCCCTCCCACCCCCCCAACGCTTGGGTATGAGTGGGGTCGTCGGCCGATTCCACCACAAATGGCATCATTCGATGCCCAGCGACACAAACAGGCCGGCCTGCCTGTCGATTCGCCCCAGCTGGCCCCACTCGAACTGGCAGTCCTGGTCGCCCAGATGCTCGTTGAAGCCCTTGACCACACCATGCGCGCCATGCAGTACCGCCTCGTCCAGCCGGGCCCGGTGCACCACCTCTCGCACACCCGTCAGCCCACTGCCCCTCACGGCGAAGCACTGCAACGGCACACGCACCACCACGCCGCCCACACTGGCCATGCCGCCCACCACCTCCCTGTTGCTGCTCGTCTGGGTTGCCGCCGACTTGACGAAGTGGCCGACAGCCGCACCCACGCGGCGCCTCAGCAGCGAGTCGCCAGGGAGGTACTTGTCGAGGAGCGCCACCGCAGCGGGGGGCTCGTGGAGGAAGGCGCCGATCTTCCATGCGATGGCCTCTGCCTCGTGTGGGCCGAATGCCATGTTGGATGGGGAGGGGTGGGGGTGGGCGCCGTCGTGGTGGGGGGCGAGGGGCAGCAGACGGGCGAGAAGCAGCGAGTGGTCGCGCTGGGGGGCGAGGGCGCCGTTGATGGCCGACATGATGTCATCCGGCAGCTCGCTCAGCACTGTGGCATATTCGGGCAGCACCACTTGACGGCAACTGCGCTGCTCCTGGGTGACGGTGGGCATGAGGGCAATCGATGGCGCCGCCCCGCTCTGCAGCAGCACACGGATGGTTATCTTGTACTGGCGGATCAGTCGTAGCCGCCACCGCCTTCGTGACTGCTGCTGGTTTCGGATATGGATGTAGAGAGCCTCGGCACCGAAGGCGAGGGGTGTCATGTCGGGCTGATTCGGCATTCCCCTGTTGATGTCTTCGGTTGTCAGCTTGCTGCACAGCCAATGAGCCACACACCGGGACCCACACCATGCTGCCTCGTGCAGTGGCGTCCTGCCCAGGCGGTTTGTTGCCGTCATATCGGCTCCATGGCTGGTGATGAGGGTCAGGTACTGGTCGATGAATTGTTGGGAGAAGGGGGCCTTGGCTGCCAAATGGACCAGACTGTCTCTACCGACCCGCTCGGCTGCGAGTGTGCTGTCGTGTTGGATGAGCCGGCGATAGACACCCATGAGGGCAGCCTCGTACTCACGAGTGGGGTGGCTGGGAACGTGGCAGGGAAGCTGCATCACCTGGTCCTGGACTCCACGCACGTTGGCCTGCCGCTCCAGGAGGACTTCCACAGCCGTCAGGTCGCCCGCACGAATCGCCACTCGGATGGGCCTGTCCCATGAGAGCACTCTGCCCCCATTGACGTCCGCACCGCCGTCGATGAGTGCACTGAGGATGTCACGCTGCAGCTGACGGGAGGACCAGGGCGGAAAGACGACGGGCCGCCGAGAGGTGTCTGGATCATCATCATCATCTTCTCGGAAATAATACACGTCCTTTGCATAAAGAAACGGGTAGTTCGTTGGGCTGTCGATGGTGAAAAGCAGGCAGCTGTATCGCGTAGTAGTCGGAAGTAGTGTGCTGCCGCGGCGGCGCAGGCCGCCGGTGGCTCTCGGGTCGGCCCCCTGATGTATCAGCCATGTGACTTGGCTGACGTCGGTGAAGCTGCGGCGGATGCAGCCCTCCAACAGCTGCCGACTCACAGCACTCACGCCCTCATCGGGGACGATGTCGACGTCGTCCAGCCCCCAGCAAGCCAGGTATGCCGACACCTGCAGAGAACACAGAGATGCCAGCCTGGGCATTCATTGGTGCATTGATCGTACCATATCACAGTGAATCAGACTACTGCAAGAACCAACACTTTGTGACAGTTGGGCGGGAGGAAGGTCACCAATGCTCGATATTCTCGTTTCCTTCGGAAGCAAGATGCGTTCGGAAGCCTTAGAGAGAGAGCGTCCCTCATTTCTGTCTCGCGATCCAGCTCGCAACCGCCGCAGAGGCCGCTCCCGACGCTGGGGCGCTGAGGACAAATCGACACAGATCTGCCCGGGTGAAGGCCCCTGACGTCGGTTCGATCAATTCATTTTGTCGTAGTCGTCGATGGGCAAGAAGGAGGCGAGCAGCAGCAGCAAGGCGGCCAACGCCAAGAAGCAGAAGCAGCAGGCCAAGGCCCAGAAGAAGCGACACAAGGAGCTGGGACGTGATGCAGAAGACGGTTTATGACCTGCTGAGCAGACAGCCGCCGCTCTTCCCCGCCCCATTGATCTGTGACACCTTCGACTCGGCCTTTTGGAGGGGGGAGAAATGCGCCCTGTCTGTCTATGGAGAGGTCTTCCACTTGTAATTTGTGCCGCACGACGCACACGTAGGCAACAGGGGAGGAGGGAGAGAGGGACAGACGGATGGCACTGATTGCTGCATGTGGCGTGTGCAGGTGCTCACCACGTCGCTGAGAGACGCTGCAGGCCAGCTGTTTGGGGCGGTGGGGAAGAGAGGATGACTGAGCTGCTCGGCTGCACAGCCGCCCCAATGTGCAAGCGGCTTATGGGCATCAAGGCACTCCTGAGTCGCGAGGAGTGGCGGAAGGCCATCGTGCAGGAGATCACCCAGAGGGCGGGCCTGCATGCCCTCTTCACACGGCTGTGCGACCAGCGCGCCACACAGGTGAGATCAGAGGAAGAACACAAAGGCACAGCACACAGTCACCTGTGGCTAAGTGAACTCATCTCTCCCCTTTTCTCTCTATGTGTGCAGAGGGATGTGTCGGTGGTCAGTGTCAAGACTGAGTACATCGAGAGCGTCCTCAGCCACGTCGACGCCTTCCGCAAACAACTGGTCGACTATGCGAGAGACGTCAGGAGCCTCACCGGCACGGGCAGCTCGCTGGCCGAGTATGCCGACATGACCCCCGCTCAGATGCGGCTGATCGAGGAGGAGCTCTCGCGTGTGCGCTGCCCCTCTGCTATAGAGGAGAGAGTGGCCCGACACCGGCAGCCGCTTCGTGGCCCCTCGGTGCGCGAGAGGGTGGAGGGTGGGGTGGTGACGTTGGCCGATGGGAAACGAGGACTCATCTGATATCATCTAGCTGTGATCGTCTGATATCATTTTTTCCATCTGTGTGGTTCGTGTGTGCACTGATTTGCGTGTCATTTGTCATCTGGTCTGGCTGGTGATCTTTATTTGTCAGCGCATCTCTCTGTGTGAGAGGTGGGATATTATGAGCGACTGAAGTGAGAGACGGTTTATATGTTCGTGAGGCCATGCGAATGAAAGACATGATTTGTCATGAATCGGTAACGAACACAGCTACGTAGTCGGGTCGCCATTGTTCGTATGCAGCTGTTGAAAAACGGCAAAACTCGGAATCAGAAGCGTCATTGAATCGCAGTAAAGAGGAGGAGACAATGCAGCCATCTCACCCGTACTGCCCTCTCCCTCCCAGTCATTCGATGCCCAGCGACACAAACAGCCCGGTCTGCCTGTCGATTCGCCCCAGCTGGCCCCACTCGCACTGGCAGTCCTGATCGTCGAGGTGCTCGTTGAAGCCCTTGACCACACCCACCAGATGATACTTCGCCACCTCGTCGAGCCAGGCCTTGTGCACCACCTCACGCACACCCGTCATCTTTTCCCCCTTCTGCCCCCCACTGCCACGAACGGCGAAGCACTGCAGCGGCGGCACGGTCACCTTGACGCGCTTGTCGCCCTGCTGCTGGTATCTCGTCCCGCCCACCACCTCCCTGTTGCTGCTCGTCTGTGTGGCCGCCGACTTGACGAAATGGCCGACGGCCGCACGCACGCGGCGCCTCAGCACCGACTCGCCAATGAGGTACTGGTCGATGGCGGCCACAGCGGCGGGGGGCTCGTGCAGGAAGGCGCCGATCTTCCATGCGATGGCCTCTGCCTCGTGTGGGCCGAATGCCATGTTGGATGGGGAGGGGTGGGGGTGGGCGCCGTCGTGGTGGGGGGCCAGGGGCAGCAGACGGGCGAGAAGCATCGAGTGGTCGCGCTGGGGGGCGAGGGCGCCGTTGATGACCCACATGACGACCCCGGGCACCTCATTTAGCACTGTGGCGTGCTCCGTCACTACCACTTGGCGATGACGGCGGTCCCACTCCGTTGCTGTGGGCATGAGGGCGATGGATGGGGCCGCCCCGCTGCGCAGCAGCGTCTGGATGATGGTCTTGTGCTGGCGGATCCGTCTCGTGTCCCGCTCTCCCAGTGCTTCTCCCAGCTGCTGCTGCTGATGCTGCTGCGCTCGGATGACGCCATCGAGAGCCTCGGCAGCGACGGCGAGGGGTGTCCTATGAGGCTGAGGGGGCCTTCCTCGGTTGACGTCGACGGCTGTGATCCGGCGGCACAGCCACTCAGCCAAGAAGGCGGAGCCACGCAATGCTGCCACGTGCAGTGGCGTGTAGCCCACGGGGTCTCTTGCCGTGATATCGGCTCCATGGCTGGTGATGAGGGTGAGGTACTGGTCGATGAATTGCTGGGAGAAGATGGAGGGGGCCACGGCTGCCTCATGCACCAGACTGTCTCCACCAGCGGACCGTTCGGCTGCGAGAGTGCTGTCGTGTTGGACCAGCCTGCGATAGATGGACATGAGAGTCTCCTCGTACTCACGGGTGGCGGAAGGGGCAGCACGACCGAGGTGGGGAAGCCGCATCACCGGGCCCCAAATTCCCCGCACGTCGGCCTGACGCGCCAGGAGGGCCTCCACTGCCGTCATATTGCCCGCACGAATCGCCACCATGATGGGCGGCTGCTCAACAAAGTCGTCCGCATTGATGTCCGCACCGCCGTCGATGAGTGCACTGAGGATGTCACGCTGCAGCTGACGGGAGGACCACTGCGGCAGGACCACGGGCACCTGGGAGTCATCAGCGCCGCTCGCGACGAGGAATGGTCTGTTTGTAGGGCTGTCGATGGCGAAAGACAGGCAGCTGCATCGCCTGTTTTGCCAGGACGGGGCCCTTCCTGGGATGCTGCCGTGGACACGAAGGCGGCCGAGGGCTCTCGGGTCGGCCCCCTGACGTATCAGCCGTGCGACTTGGCCGACGGTGAAGGTGCGGCGAGCGCAGCCCTCCAACAGCTGCCGAGTGACAGGACTGACGCCCCCCATCGGGGACGATGTAGACGTCATCCAGCCCCTTGCAGCCGTGTGGCGGCACGGCAGCAGGAGATGCTTGCGATGCGGCAGACGACGATTGGGCCATCACACCAGGTCGCAAGCCTGCGCGGACAGAGGTACAGAGAAAGACACAGACTCACACAGTCACTTGCAAGCCTTCTTTCTTCCATCATTGCTGGCACACCTGGTCAGCCAGCCCCTCGATCAGTCGGCGGCCGCCACAACACAGCCTTCAGCAACACCTGCACAGTGAAACACACAGAAATCCTACCCAGTGGTGCTCTGCTTTTCCGTCACATGCCCTTCCTCGGTCACTCATATTATCAGCAGGTGCATCGGCAGCCCAAGCAGACTCCAAAGACAAACGCTGCTTCTCCGTTTGCTGCTTCACAGACGGGGCAACATCTGACAAAGCGGCAAACAGGGAGGTCATACAGGTTCGGTTTTTTCGTTTGATTCCTTCCTTACTGTGTCTGCTGACGTGGACAAGCTGTGAGAGAGTCGTGGTGCTTCACTTTTATTCACACAGCATCGCTGCGAGCTTGTCGCCGGAAAAGGAGGCGCAACGCAGTGCTTCTCTGTGAGAGTGTCCGCGTGTTGCATGAGAGGGACGTGCTGATATCAAGATCAGGTGTCACCAGCCATTTGTCACCCGCGCCCCCGGGAGAGAGAGGGGCTGGCTGATTTGCGCCACTCGCTATGCCTGTGCAGCCGCAATACGGTGCGCCAGCCATCAGGCACAGCGCCTCTTCGTTCACTTGTGCTTTTTGGTTGTTTGTTTGTGTTTGATGCCATGTATCCACAATCAGATTACCTGATCAAGTTGCTGCTGATAGGTGACAGCGGCGTGGGCAAGAGTTGTCTGTTGTTTCGTTTCTCCGACGACCAGTTCACTCCCTCGCACATCACGACCATCGGCATCGACTTCAAGATCAAAACCATCGACATCGATGGGAAACGGGTCAAGCTGCAGATATGGGACACCGGTAAGTAAGCCACATCGAGGCAGGCGGAGAGTGGTGCTCAGCACATCAATCGGTGAGTGTGTGTGTGTGTGTGTGTGTTGTTCGTTGTGTGTATTGCAGCGGGTCAGGAGCGGTTTCGTACCATCACTCAAGGTCAGTGAGTGAGAGTCAGGTGCCACACAGGGATGGACGAATGACGACAGATCCTTGGTTGTGTGTGGTATGGATGTTTCTTCTTTCGTCCAGCATATTATCGCAGCGCCATGGGCATCCTCTTAGTCTATGACGTCACTTCACCCGAATCATTTCAAAGTGAGAAAGCTCTCCCGCCACACACACAGACAATCCATCCATCCATCCATGACATGTGTCTGCAGACATCCGGAACTGGATGCGTCAGATCGACGCCCACGCGGCCGAGAACGTCAACAAGATCCTGGTGGGCAACAAGGCCGACCTCGAGAACATCGTCAGCTCTGAGCGGGCCCGCGACCTCGCAGACGAGTACGGCGTGCCCTTCATCGAGACCAGCGCCAAGAGCGGCCAGGGGGTCGCCGAGGCATTCGTCACACTCGCACGGGACATCATCCAGCGGCTGGTGGCGACGCAGCAGCAGCACCAGAAGGCGCAGGAGAACATCGTGCTAGGGCGGGACAGTGGGCGGCCGATGGCCAACCGACTGGCGGCATGCTGCCACAGGTGATGGACTGATCCATCCATCCATTCATATGGTGGGCGGCTGGGCTGGGTGTACAGACATGAGGAGGGAGGGAGGGAGGGAGGGAGGGGAGGGAGGAGCAGGTCTGTCTGTGTGCGCGTGTGCGCCGCCCGTAGCTAGATAGACACTGAGGAGCGTTTGTAGTCTCTGCGCGAAGGCGTGTGTGTGTGTGTGTACCATACGACCGTAGGATGTGATCTGTGTACGGGAGAGAGAGAGAGAGCTGAGATAGCCAGCTGTGTGGAAGCAAGTGCCATCCACCTTCATCTAGAGGAAACACCCGCTGCCTGTCCGTGCGTCTGTATCCTTCACTTCATGCCCCTTTATATTCCTGTGCGTCGCTGGCGGATGGATGCATGGCATGGATCCTTCCTACGAGCGACGGAGATGCGGACAGACAGACCACAGACATACATTCCACTGCGCCGACGGCCTGCCTTTTTGAAAGTGAGATGGATGCCTTGATTGATGATCCATATTCTCACTCACTCATTCACCACTCATTCACTGAAGGTCTGTGGATGAATGGTACCCATGCGCACATCCACACACGGGCGGCATCTGTGCTGTCCACGCACCACACACACGAGCAACCACCAAACCAGCACACCACACCACAGCACGGCGCACTCGAGAATGAACAGATCCAAACAATTGAGATTCGAGAATTGCCCTCATTCCCAGCCAAAGTGTCAGGAGAATTTGGGCACAGCGATACCCAATCCGTCAGTCAGTCAGTCAGTCAGTCCGTCAATAGCTTACCCCTTACCCCCCGCACCCACACCGCACAGAAAAACAGCCCCATACCCACTGACAGAGACACATTCATTAGCCATCCCTCTCTGCCTTCAGTCAGTCAGTCAGTCACGCCCCTGCCCGAGCAGCAACTAGTGGGGGCCCATACGAGTGCTTGGACGCGTGCAGGCTGCCCCCACCACCACCACCAACACCACCAACACCAGCAGCACCACCACCGGCAGAAGCATTCCTCGCCGATCCGGCGGCGGCAGCAGCCATCTGCCCGCTGCAGCTGCTCGACGACCCGCTCACCGTCAACACACGCTTCCCAGCTGGTGGGGAGGTGATTGTGACGAGCTCGCCTTCCGGCACCTGCTTGCCGTGCTCTTTGATGTGTTTCTCGCATGCCTTGCGCAGGTTGTCTGTCCACATGACGGGTGCGCGTGCGGCGGTGGCGTTGACGAGGGCCTTGGGGATCAGACCCTTGATGTCCGTCTGCGCCAGGATGAACAGACTTGTGGAGTCGGGGCTGCCGTCCAGTGGCCGAATCACATAGCCTACCCCCACCCACACAGAGAGACAGTCAGGTCTGAGTGTGGTGTCTCGTGGGTGTCTCTGTGTGGGTGTGGGGAAGGTTTACCCGAAACGAGTGTTTCGGCCCTGACGAAGCCCTTGACCTCCGGGACGCTGGGGTGCTCGGCTGAGCGCATCATGATGGTCACCGCACCGGTGTCGGGCTGGTATGAGGTGCGCCGCCACTGCACGAAGTCGCGGTTGGCGATGGGGAAGGGCGCCTGCACACATACTCACACACACATGGATGGGTGAGCATGTGTGGGTGTGTGGGTGTTGCGAGGGATGGGAGGGTACCTTGATGACAGAGTAGATGACTTCGTTTCCGTCGCAGTCGGTCTCGATCATCTTGAAATTCGAGAAATTGGTATCCCTGTGTAAGGGCGAGGAGAGACCAGCAACCAACAACCAACACACATACACACACACACACACACACATACCGGTCAGCAACACAGTGCGAGGCGTTCTTGTGGTGCTGACCAGCTCATGCGCATCTGAATGTTCTTGATGTGGTATGCGACGACGCTTGGTGGGATGCCCTCCAGCCGGGCGGCGGCCTTGACCAACACGACGGGGTTGTCCTCACTCTTCAACTTGTACACCTAAACCAACAAACACACACACACAGACACAGAGGGAGCGTGTGTGTGGGGGGGTGTGGGTGGATGTGGGTGCGGGGGTTTGTGGGTGAGAACGGACCTTGATGTCCTTTCTGCTGACGCAGCAGTCCCACGGGGGCACCTCCGTGACCTCATGCTCCTTCGCCTCAAGGTAAGACAACTCATACGCACCACTGTCCACACACACACACCCCACACAATATCACCCATGTGTACGTGTGGATGGTGCTGCTTGATACGATACACACGGGCGTGGCGTGGCGTACATGGGCTGTATGTGCTTCAGGTGCGGATCAAAATTGATGAGGTCAGTGAAAGACTTGAACAGCACGGCAGGGTGCTTCCGCCGACCTGCACACCACACACACAGCAGCAGGCAGAAGTACGCACGAGGCCATTCGCACACACATCCACATGTCCTTCCTCCTCACTTTCGCGCCCCTCTCGACTGCACACAACACACAAAGACCACATGCATGCTGTGGGTGTATGCCGACATGCCGACATGCACTTGATCCATACATACCCCTGTGCGGCCGCCGTGCTCCTCCTGGCCTTGGCAGTGCTGATCGGCCCCTTGACATTCGGCGCGCTTAGCACCGTACCAGTGCAGGACGAACCGTCAGCCTCCACACCACCACCACCGGCAGCAGCAGGGGCAGAGTCACGCCCAGACACCACACGCACAGACACCGCCGGCTGTGAGACCGTTTCGCCATGCACTGACACAGAGGGGGGGAAGGACAATACACTACCAGCACCACCACCAGCAGCAGCACCAGCGCCAGCAGCACTAGGAGTGGGGGCGGACTGCCTGACGACGGTTGCCCGCTGTTCGGTGGTGGTGAGCATGACCGACGTGGCGGCGTCGAGTGCCTCCTCGTTGATGAAGAGCTCGACGCCGGCCTCCATGTCGATCTCATGCAGTGGGGGCTGTGGGTGCTGCTCGCCTGTGGGCCTCCTGCTGCGTGTTGGGTGGGGCGGGTATGGGGGGCGGACGGCCTCGGTGGCGATCGGGGGAAGGGCCATCTCGTCCTCCTCCTCAGACTGACAAGAGAGAGACAAGGAGAGAGAAGGGGGGGGACAGGAAGGGTGTGGATGGATGGATGGATGGATGGTTTCTCTCTCTCTGACCACTTCGTAGCTCGACTCGAGAGAGCTGCCCTCGTCACTGGCTGCAAAGACAAGAGGAAAACACACCACCCACCACCCAGACATACACACACACACACACACACACAGGCATGCACAGACATGCATACATAAGTTCCCCTCTCGCTCGGTTGCTCACTCACCGTCCATGGCCTCGAGTGACAGCCGCACCGTCTTCTTGTCGCCGTCTCGTTTCCGCTTCCCACCAACCATTGACGACACCACATGCCGACCCTCACCACCCCCACCAGCACCACCACCAGCACCACCACCAACACCCACATCTCTCCCACTCTGCCGCCCGCTGTCCGCCTGCTGCTGGTCGGGTGTGCGTGTGCCCCTGCTGCGGGAGCGGAATCGCGATGAGATGAGTCGGAAGGAGGGCGCCTTGTTGCTGCGCCTGCTGTCGGGGGACGACTCGTGTGAGTCTGCGAGCATCGACACACGCTCGGTGCGGCGGCGGCTCTCGCGGTGCCGATTCTCAGCGTAGATGATGGCCTCTGCCTCCTTGATGCGGATCTGCACACACAGCACACAGCACAGAGAGAGAGGGGAGGGGTGCATGTGTGATGCACATATATGGCATGTGTATGGGGCGGGTGGAGACGATGTGACGTGACAAGAATTACGCGCTCGTTGCTCTTGACTTCCTTCATCTCTCTGGCCTTTCTGAGCAGCCTGGCGGGCCCGGGCGTCTTGACGACCCTCTCCATCCTCTGCACCACTGGGGGCTTCGGCTTCTGCACGTGCCTGCAGCACTCGATGAGCGTGTCGCACACCGTCGAGCACTGAGCGATCTCTTGCAAGTTCATCTGCCGCCAGTTCTTGAAAAACACGTCCAGGTAGAGCCAGAGGCAGTGCTGCACGTCGTCCCGCTTGATGAACGAGTACAGCGCCCTCAGCTGTTTCCGGGCGATCTCGCTGAAGGACGCCAGCTTCGAGAGGGCCTCGAACTCACTCACGACGAGAAACACCAGCTGCAGCTGATTCTCGGACGAGTCGAAGTGGAAGTTGGCCCACCTCATGAGGTAATAGATCTTCTTGACCTGCCGCTCGGCGTCGCTCACCTTCTTCTTGGTCCGCCGACGGTCCAAAATCTGCCCCACCAGGTGGCCCACACCGGCGCCACACGCGCCCCCCAGCACCATGCCGATCGGCCCGAAGGGCAAAGCCAGGACGGCCATCACCCCGCCGCCCCCAAGGGTGCCGGCCATCTTGGAGCTCTTCGGCGGCTTGTTGGCCACACGCACAATGTAGTCACGCTCGAACAGCTGCTTGTCATCGAGATCCTCGTTGGCAGCAGCGGCAGCGGCAGCGGCAGCGGCAGCAGCAGCAGCATCGTCATCGGCGATGGGCATTGGCCGTCCACCACCCATACCTGAGCCGCCGGTGTTTAGCCAGACATCGCTTGAGTGCGCGTAGCGTAGCGGCGGCCCTCTGCGTGATGCTGATGCGGTAGCGGGCGGCACCTCGCAGTCGTCCTGGTGATGCATCCGAGCGAGGGAAGGGATAATGGGACCAGGGTTTGACGCGCGAGAGGGGTGGGGGGCGATGATGAGGGGGCGGGGGTAGTCGGCGGGCTGGTACGGCGTGTACGCCGTCATGGGCGAGGACATAGACGTCTGAAGATGGTATCGCGGCGGAAATCCGCCCCTATATAGCAGTGGCGAGATGGGCGTCGCGCCGAGCAGCGTCGCCCCAGCATCCTCCCTACCGGCAAAAACGGCCCCAAGCGAGAGGGCTGCGCATTCGGCCCGCTGGTCCAGCCCGTTGAGATCAACGGGTGTGGCGGGGACCGTCGTAGCGCCCACATCCTCACCATGATGCTGTCTGCGCGTCGAGGGCTCTGTGTGTGCGGGGCTGCTGGACGCTGGGAGGGGAGGGGGCAGGGAGAGGGGACCACTGGCGGCATGCTGATGCTGGGTGAGGGCCGCCTGACGCTCGGACAAGAAGTTCGGCTGCCCAGGGGGGAGGGGCCCAACAGAACGGCCGGCCATTGTGTGGTCGCGCAGCAGAAGTCACTGGTTTTCCTCTATGCCGGTTGTCGGCTTCTTGAAGTCAGCCAAAACACACGGGGCCCTCAGGACAAAGGAAGCGGAAAAGGGGAAGGTAAAAGGGAATTCCTTTTGGCGCCTGCGAGCTTAGCTTGCAGAGCCAAGTGGATTGTTTCCATCGTCCAGGCCTGGCTTAGTGCTGGCGGCGGCTATCCATTTGCAGTGGAGAGTCACGCTTCACATATAGAGGGAGGTGAGACTCAATGGAGATCGATGACATTGCGTGGGTGTGCTAACACATTGTGTCAAGGAAGGGAAGGAACGCGCCCGAGTGAGTTGAATTCGTTCGCAGAAAGTAAGTATCGACAAATACATACAAATCAAATGCTATGCAGCACGTCAGTCAGTCGTGCATGCTGTGTGACAGACATCCCCCGCCCCCCCTGTCTCCCTCTCCCTCTCTCTCTCCCTCCCTTGAGGCTATCATGCCCTAGAGTTCATCGTGGCCGACAAGGCGCGCATCAAACTGCCCCAGGCCGGCATGGTGAAGGCGCACCTGGATGTGCAGCACCACCACGACTACTACGGTCAGACCCAAGCGCACTATCGGCCACAGCGGAGGGCCACTGACCAATTCACAGACAGACAGAGAGACAGAGAGACAGGAGCAATGCGTCCATCCGGCTTCGTCTCCATTCATTCCTTGTGCTGCTGTGTTGGGCCCACCACCTGGTGGGTTTGGTTTCGTGTCGGCGTGCTTTTACAGGGGGCTTGGGGGGCTCTCCCAGGGCGGCCCTCACCTCATTCTCAAGGCCATACCAACCATCATCCACAGGCAAACCTGACAGACCAATGTGTGCACAGACAGACAGACAGACAGACAGGCAGACAGACAGACAGACAGGCAGACAGACAGACAGACAGGTGTCCATCCAATGCATACGCTTCCCTTTCGAGTCCTTACCTGTGCTAGCACTGTCACTGGGGGGTGTCTGGGTGGCTGTATGTGTCTGTGTGTGGTCTGATAGGTCAGCCACGACACCCCCAATCATCTCGGGAGGCAGCCCCGTCACCGACGCCAGACGGGCCCGGGAATCCTGATACACAGAAAGACCAACAGAGAGAGGGGCGAAGTCAGCTCGCTTGGCATTGCAGGGAGGGAGGGGCACTCTCTGTGTGTGTCTGCCGTGTGTGGCTGGGTACCTTCTCGGTTTCTCCCTCCGCTTGGTAGTCGCACAGGGTGCCCAACGCCGAGCCGCCCGAGTTGCCGCCAAAACCGAAATGCACCCTGACGTCGACCAGCACACCACACCCAAGCATCCCATCACCATTCAACGAGTCTCTGCTGCTAGCCATTTCCATGCTCATCAATCACAATTTACCTGCGCGGCAGAGGGAGGGCCATGGGGGCTGCCGGCGCACTCCCTGCACGACGACACACGCTAGGTCGTTGAGGTGTATGTGTGGGTGCTCCTCTCTCTCTTACCGTCGCTAGCGTCGGTTGCCGCGAGGCACCTCTCCAGCACGGCAGCGACCCGGACAGCTAACGTGCCGACAAAGTCATCATACAGACACTGACGGACAGCGACCGAACAAGCAAACACACCAGAGGCTCCACACTCGTGCAACACGCGTGGCGTGTGCGATTTCAGTGAGTGACCCCAGCTGACCTGCATGGCGGACAGCAGGGAGCCCTCCCTCAGCACGTGGGCGACCGCCAGGATGTCACACCGGATGTGTATCAGATGGGGCGGGGCTGCAGGAGCCGCATTAGGAGGCCCCAGGACCACCTCGATCGGCCCCCAGTGCTGCTGCAGGAACTGGAGCTCCCCGTGCTCAGTTGAGGACAGCAGCCGACCCATCTTGACATGGCAGTCGCCATCGCTGCCGAAGTACTGAGACCGGGGAGAAGGGGTGGTGCTCTGCACACACACAACACGCACACAACACACAAGACAGAGGTGCATCGGTCGCTATGCATGTTGGAAGGGACGCACCTGGGCAGCAGATGCGGCGCTGGCGGGTGGCTCTGTGTGTGCAATGAGCAGCACGGGCGCCTCCGCCCAAGTGGCCATGCTGGCCTGAGGCAAAGCCGACATGCACACGCACGGACTCACTTACGGACTCACGGACTGACTTTTGCATGGGGGTGACTGGCTCGCTCACCCTGAGGTGTTCTTCCACTTCGGCCACCTCGGCTGCATCGGGTGTGTCGAAGGCGACGGTCATGTCGACGGGCACCAGAGTGGAGAGCCGCACACTGCTGCCGGCGGACGACTGCATTTTGGACGACAGGGGCTTCCACTGCACAGACACACACACGTACTCAAAGGTTATGTGCACCACTGGTGTGTGTGCGTGTGTGAGATCCGTATACCCACCCTACCCTTCTCACCATAGATCCCACATTCGAGGGAGCCGTCTTGCACATGAACCTGACCACACACACACACACACAAACAAACAAACAACAGACAGACAGACAGACAGAATGAATGAAGCGATCCATTCCCCCCCTCCCTCCCTCCCTCCATCGCCCACTTTTTGGTGTTTGTATCGAGGACCATGATGAGTGCCTCCCCCGAGGCGGTGCCGCAGCTGATGTCGTCCAGCAGGGGCATCAGCGAGGGTCCCAGCGACGCACGCACATCAGCCTCAGGCTTGACCACATACACGCCGCACACCTCCAGCCCTCCAGGCAGCACCTGCCGAACCTCACTCAAGTGACGCATCGACCACTGCAGCCATGCCGCACACACAGACATATGACGGCACGTGTGTGTGTGTGTGTGTGTAGCCCCCCACAAGTACCTGCAGGAAGGTCATGCCGTGTGTGTGGCTGAGTTTTCGCTCCAGGAGTTGTGCGAGGCCGCCCGTCCACACGGCCTTGCCCCACGGCCTGCCCTCGGCCTCTGTCGGGGTCGGCAGACACATCAGCAGCACACGCGCTCCCTCAATCGCCTGTACCATTCACATCAACATCAACATGAAAGAAGCGCATGAATTACTGCGGCTTTCTTCTGTTGTTTCCTCATTTCCCGCCGCACCTGCGCCACGACGAGGCCGAATGGGCACTTGGCCTCCGCCTTCCAGCACTGGGAGATGAAACGCTCCAGCAGCCGCGGCTCGAGCGTCACTTTCTTGGCCATTCTCAATCAGATCTCCTGAGATCTGTGCCCAGTGTCCACTCTGCAGACATTCAAGTGCTCGAACAGAAGCCGCTCGCCCTCAGCCACTGCGAGCTTGGAACCTCGAGGGCGACCTGAGGAGAGGAATGCATGTTTGGTGATGGGCTCTTCATTGCCTGTGGCGCACTCTCCCATATTATCGTATCTGAAGGAGCAGTACAATGCGGCGCTGGGTGAGGACTCTGGGGCGGGGCCTCGAGGTGCGCTCCGGCTGCGGGAGCTGCAGCGGCTGCAGCCGCCCGACGGCGTGCCCATCGACTTCACCCACTTCCCCACCCTGTTTGTCATGGACAGCAACCGAGATGGACTCGTCGATTGGCACGACCTGCTGGACTTTGCCGGTGGAAAGGAGAAAAATGGCCTCTGTCTGTTGATATCAATGTGTTCTGTCTGCGATGATCAGAGTTCGTGCAGGTGGTGAAGCGGCGTTATCGGCACCGCGACTACGAGTTCCGGAAGCGGCTCAAGGCGCTGTGCACGCTGCAGGTGATCGCTTTGCTGCAGCAGCCACACGGCGAGGACGCACTCATCGAGTGGATATGCAAGGCCGTCACCGACGGAAACGACACACAACACCTCATACACAGCAGCACACAACAAAGTGAGTGAGTTAGTTGGCCAGTGAAGCAAGGCAACGTGGAGAGGCATGTGCCTGTGTGAAGGTGGTGGGCTGCTGAGTCGTGAGGCGCTGGGTTGGCTCTTCACGATCCTACATATTGAGGAGCTCACCGATGTGGGCGACGAGCAAGGTGCATATGCACACCAGCCGACATCAGCCACTGTCCTGTCACGTCATGTGTTGTGTGGTGTGCCTCCTCTCTCTTTCTGTGTGTCTGTGTGTACGTCAGCGTTTTTCGACCTGTTACAGCGTGTGTTGGAGGAGCAGCAAACGCGCCAGGCGGCACACAGGAGCGTCCTATGCACCAGTGAGGAATTCGACGACCTCATTCCATTGGCAAGTCCACACACACGCACACACACACACACACACAGAGAGAGAGAGAGAGAGAGATTCTCCATCTGGTGTGTGTGTGTGTGTGTGTGCAGTCGCTGATCCACCACGTGCTGCGTGTGTTCATCCAGTCGTTCCGGGCGCTGAGTGCCGATGTGGTCCGGCTGGCCGCATGAGTGACACGCAGCACTTAGTGTGCCGCCTGTCATGATGTAGAACACTGGATGAGTGTGTGTAGATAGCGTGCGTGCGTGTGTGAGTGACATGACTCAACCTTCAAGGTCCTTCATTGCAAACGTCCATTGGATGCTGCTCGGGGGCGAATGGAATAATCGCTTCAATTTGCTTTGCTTTCTTGACATCAATGCTTGATTTACTTGAGCAAGTTACAGTTTGTTAATGCAAGTGTGTGTCTCTGCTGCTGGACATGTGGCCCGTTCTGTCCTCTCTCTCCTCTCCATCTGTGTCTATCGCTTGCGCTTCGACACGCCTTCCAGGAGACCGATGCCGATGCGGCTCTCGTTGATGAACTGCGGTATATGCACAACACACAAAAACCAGTCAGGCCTGTGCCCATCCCCTTTCCATCCACTCAATCTCTCACCCATTTCAGCACCTCCACTGCAGCTGCCTCCTTCATCAGACGCTCACCCCCACTCTCTGTGACGTCCAACGCGAGTGACTTAACGATCTTGTGGCCGGTCCACTCGCTTAGTTAGCCATCCCCTGCTCCAGCCCTGCCTTTCTTTCTGCTTCCCTCCTCTCTCTCTCTTGTTGCCACTCAGGAGTGCCTGTCCACTCGACGGGATTCTCGAGCGCCTGCTCCCTGAGCTCCCGCAGAATCCAATCGACAATCTCCTGCGCCTGGTCGATGAGCAAGCACACGAGGCGAACAGATGTTTTGACTGCTTCTCTTTCTAGCTGTGCAGATTACCTACCTGGTCATACGTGTCAAACTTCTCGCATGACTTCATGTCCCCCAGACTCAGAAACTCCACTGGCTCCGTCTTCAGCTCTCCCTCGTCGACGTCAGGCTCGTTGGGCAGCTCGCACAGGAACCATTCCCGTCCGTCTGTCACTGCCCCATAGTTGCCCAGGTTCTTCTTGCGGATGTGTAAGACGTGCTCGGCATAGTTGGGCAGGTCGTCATACTCACAGCCCTCAAAGATTATCCAGTACCACGGACGGCCATCCCACTCCAACACAAAGGCAGGCCGCTTGTCCACCAGCTTGCCCGTCTTTCGATTGAAGCGAGTGTTCCACAAGTAGTACTCGTTGAACTTCAAGAGTGGATATCCGGCTGTGACGATTTCCTGCACAAGAGGCCAAACCAGGGTGCCGAGCCAGATGGCAGGGTGCTCGCTGTAGCTCGCCATTCCGAACGATGTGCTGAGTGGGGAGGATGCATGATCGGCCGCAAGCCACCATGATGTCTGAATGAATGACATGTTTCCCTCATGCTTAATTACTTGAGTCGGTCTCTGAAGTCTTGTGATAGGGGGCAGCGGATCTCCAAAGGGTTCGACTGAACGTCGGCCCTCGTGTGAGTGATTATGTCGCCTGCTCTACCCGTTCTCATGTTCCGATAGGATATCTGAGCAGCACAGCAGCGCACACCAGAGCATCCAATCGATGTGTGTGTGTGTGCGTCGATGGTGTCTGCAGATCTGGTGCATGCTCACCCCCTTGCTGACTTACCATGTGGATGAGTCCCCTGTCGTGTCGGCGGCGGTATCTCCCGTCCGTCGTCTGAGAGCGGCCCAGAAACCCCTTCACAAACCGGTCATTTCGAACGGCATGGCGGGATGGAGAAAGGGACCACCCAAACACGGCAGGTACAAGGGCGAGAGAAATGAGAAGGACGTAGACGACACGCATTTTTGCTGAAAGAAGTATGAGCAGGGGACTTCGCGATGGCAGGGTTTGAAAACCCACAGGGTACATACCCTGCATTGACCCTCCAGCTCGGCCGGTTTGCGATAGGCCAGGGGAATTAAACTGGGTGTGTAGCACTCCCACATACAGGACAGGATGCAACCAACATTCATTTTGATCAATATGGCAGGCAGGTGCGGACAGCGATGACTGATTGCCACCATAGAATAGTTAGTTGATGGCACCGTACCGTACCGTGTCCACCCACCCACCCGCCCGTACCGTACCGTGTCCACCCACCC